TTACGGTAATAGGCGAGTTCCCGCCCCGCCACTCCCCTCCGCGGTGACGTCACCGAGGGATATCGCGGTCGCTAGGCAACGCGAGTCAACAGCGGCGACGTTACGATAGTAACAGCGGTTACCTCTGCTAGCGTTGCATAGCAACACAGCGCCAGGCAAAAGGGTGCCTATTACGCGGCCGTTTTCCGTATGGTCCGATCGAGGCTACATGAGGCGCAGCGAAGGCTATTCACAGTCAGTTCTAATGTGGCTACCAGCGAGTTCTACTGCAGCCGCCGAGTTGTAAAGTAACCGTCAGCCGACTACAAGTTGGAGTATAGCAGCCGTCGCGGAAAGAAGAACCGGACGTGTGTGTGATTGTGTAATCGGGAGCGTGTGATACAGTGATACAAAGCTCCCCTACTGTAAACGTGTAGACTACTGAAGACAGAGTGAACTGATTTGCGCATAGGGTTATAAAGTGTGAAACCCGCAACAGTGTTAACAGATTAATGCGATTAGGGTTATAAATTGTGAAACCCCGCAACTGTAAGATAAGCAATTGTAGCCGTTATTTGTAGGTTGTTAAATAAACCAATTAACCATCTCTACGGCGTCTTCAGTAACGCAAACACGTTACAATATGTTGAACTGATACATCACTCATCCACTTGTTTCCATCTCTAAGGCAACATTTAATGCAAGGGATACAACAAAGGAAACACACTGTGGACACTGCAATATGAAGGTAGTGGGAGTGAAGTGTGGGCACACATTCTCAGATGATGGTGATATGCAATAATAGCTTGTAATATATTGACATAGGAACTGATACAGCGCTGATACAGGGCCGAAACATGTCGCAACAGTAAAAATAAAATATGATTTTATTGACATTTTAAAATAAAAGTTTATCTTTCATTAGAGACAGAAACAAGTGATTATCCACCTGTCTCTTGGTCTTCCTAGTGGTTTCTTTCCTCCTGGTTTTCCCACCAATATCCTATATGCATTTCTCTTCTCCCCCATTCTTGCTACATACCCTGCCCATCTCATCCTCCTTGACTCGATCATTCTAATTATACTTGGAGAAGAGTACAAGTTATGAAGCTCCTCGTTATGCAGTTTTCTCCAGCCTCCTGTCACTTCATCCCTCTTTGGTCCAAATATTCTCCTCAGCACCCTGTCCTCAAATACACTCAGTCTATGTTCCTCCCTTAAAGTCAGAGACTAAGTTTCACACCCATACAAAACTGGAAGCAACACTTGTCTTTGGACTGTCTTTTCTCTCTCTCTCTCCCCCCCCCCACACACACATACACATATGCACACACTAGAAAGACCCCAAGACTTTTTTCATCATAGACCATTAATCAAATTGTAATGAAATTCCGTAAAAGAGACCATGCATAAAGATATCTGGCCTTGTTCACTTTCCGCTTCACTGCCTCACATTGTGCGTGAAAGCATAAATGCTAATGGAAATACCTGTACTATATAAACACATGGAGCATGAAACAGTAATGTATCCAAAATCAGGCTGTGCTATACATATGTGTACAGTTTCTCTTTTAACCTCTTGTGCCACAGCTAAGGTAGTCATCAGCTTCTAACCATGGTGGCCCTAGTTCAATCCCAGGGTAGCCCATGTGGAATTGTTGTGGACAGTATACTAGGGTAGATTTTTCTCCAAGCATTTTAGTTTTCATCTGACAACTATCATCTGACAAACACTCCATACTTATCTATCAGGGACTGGTACAATGAGCCCATTTAAGGCCACAATACCAAGGGACTAATTTTCACCCCAGTTCTGTAAACAAAATGAAACCCTTTGCCACTTTAAATTTTCTGTCACTGTAAGTCCACTTAGTTAAAATGCACTACACAGGGTGTAACTGGAAGGTGCAGACAAACTTTTGACACATTCCATGTACCAAAACAAGAAAAAATGTCCATATTAACATGTGTTAAAAATAATATTATATTTCAGCATCCTGTTGCATTGAAGTATCACTCGTTGCAGTTTCTCTTCCATCTTTAATGCAACATACTTTCTATTTTACAATGGGGTACCCAAAAGAAACCGAACTAATTTTTTTGTGGGCAGAGCTTTTGTAGTACTGCGTTTTGCCGCTATGAGCACATAGAGCTAACATTCCTGAGTCGATAAGCCGACTACCGTTGCTTCAGAAGGTAAGCACTAGATTTGGCAGAGTTTATAGTGACAACTGTTTTGTGTGATCGTCGTTTTTGCAATGGCTGATTTTCGTGAACAGCGCCCGGCAGTGAAATTCTGCTTTTTGCTCGGGAAAAGTGGAACAGAAACTCTTGAAATGTTAAAAACGGTGTACAAGGACAATGCTATGGGGAAAACTCAAGTGTTTGAGTGGTTTTCCCGTTTCAAAAATGGTGAAATGTTAATTGATGACAAACCTCGTTCTGGTCATCCTTCCATGGCCCGAACACATGAAAATGTTGAAAAAATTCGTGAAATCATCAAGGAAGATCGACGACAGACCATTGAAGAAATTGTGGAGCTGTTGGGAGTGACTTGGAGCTCAGCGGCCAGATTTGTGGCAGTCGGGTGACTGGTTTTTCCATCATGACAATGCCCTTGCTCACACAGCCCTGTCTGTATGACAATTCTTGACCAAAAATGGTATGACCCATGTTCCTCACCCTCCATACTCACCCGACCTTGCCCCGTGCGACTTCTTTTTTGTTTCCTCGAATGGAAAGAGACATGAAAGGAAAAAAACGACGGAGGCGCTGTCAAGCATCTTAAAAGATGAATTTAGACAGTATTTTGAAAAATGGAATAAAAGACTAGTGTATTAGTGTAAGTGGAGAGTACTTTGAAGGGGATTGAAGGTTTGTGCTTAATATATGAATAAATAAGTTAAAAAAAAATAAGTTCGGTTTCTTTTGGGTACCCCCTCATATATTATACTAAACTTACATTCAACTCCTTGCACAAGGAACACCAAATAAATACACAACCAGGGGAGCAGCACAGAGAAGCTGCAATATGAAGATAGGAAAAGAGTAGACATTTGTTACACACCAAAATTGAGAATGATGACAATGTACATCAACAAGTGGGCACAGTGCAGCAGATTCCATCAAGATGTGTTTGTGAACAGATGTTTATATCAACATTTTTTCTTGTTTTGATACGTGGAACTCGTGCCCAAAGTTTGTCTGCACCTTCCAATTACATACTGTACATATTGTTATAGTAAATTAAGTACATCAGATGACATTTAAATTTGTTACACTCTATTTTCTAGGGGCAGCAAAACTTACTATATGAATTATTGTAAATTTTACTTTTATTTCAGGCTGAAGCATATAAGACACTTGCCAGAAAAGTAATAACATTCTTAAAGAAGCAAGAAGTTCCAGAAAACAAAATATGAACTTCAGTGTGGAAGATGTGTATCTAATATATGTATATAAAATGTAACTATTCTGTTTCCTACTGTAGACCTAATGCAAAACACCCAAATATTTAGTCCATACTCTTGCCAGTATGTATAGTAGTGACAACTGTTGAATTACTGCACAGATATTGCAGTCAAGTTTAGACTGGGAACTGAATCCTTATTCACATATTTCTTTTTAATTATATAAGTGAACTTCACTTCATTTAGGTATTATTCGTTCTTCAGATTTTGAGTTACTACATATTGTCATGCCAATCACAGTGACCACATGGTCTAAGACATGAACAGTCTTAACTTGCTTGAATGCTGGGATCATGGGTTTGAATACCATGCAAGGTATGGATGTCTGTGTGTGTTTCTTCTGTGTAGGTAGTGGCCTTGTGATGGGCTGATCCCCTGTTCAAGGAGTCCTACCGACTGTGTATAGGATCAAGAAACTGAAAAAGTGACCAAGTTCCAACAAAAGGACTCTAGAGCCACAGATAGTTATATTGTCATATCAACCAGGCAGGCACTTCTGCTTTTTATGGATAACAGTTTAGAAGACACAAGGAATAATTATAAACCAACATGTGAAACCTACAGGAAGTACGAGAAGATCTGTTTCTTCTACACCATTACTCTCTGCTGGCTCAGTTGATGGTTATGCCAGCTTAATTAAAGGTGTTTATTTCAGTGTTTTTGGAGCCATGTTTGGCAGAAATTGTAATCTGCATATTTTATTACAATAAAACCTTGTATATATTCAATATATTCACAACAGAAACTCCTTTTATTCAAATCAATTTAATTGAGCCCATTTTGAAGAAGGTTCAGTAGTAGTGTTCCGACACTGCAGTGATTCACAATTCATGAAGGTAAGTAGGTAAACATGTGTGCCCAAGATCTTGCAGAACCAGTTCAGAAGCACAGTCATTTCGCAGATCAAGTCTATGTTAAAGTGCAAGTGCCCTCTTTTCATGTCATAATCCTATCATTCTGAGTAGCAACTTCAGTAATGGATTCCTCCAGTATATGGGATAGGCAAGGAAGCCAGGATAGCTCAGTCGGTGCAGTGACTAGACTGGGGAGGGTGTGAGCAAAGAATCAAAGTTCAACTCCCAACAGGGGCAAGATATTTTCCCTTCTCTACAATGTCCAGACTGGTTCAAGCCAACCCAGTCTATTCAGTGGTCATCAGGAGCACTATACAGTCTGAGATACTGAGAGTATTATTATTGTTACCGGTATTAGGAGCTCGCAATCCTTGCCGGTTGTCAAAAAAGCTGAAAGATCTAAGGCACTATTTGTCTCTCAGTTTAGCCCTGAGGTTACTGCTGATTATGTGCACAAATCATTGAAGGAGCAATTGCGTCTAAAACAGTTGGTCTGCACCAGACTCAAAACTAAATTCAACTCGTACTCTTCCTTTCATATCTCTGTATTGGAAGACGAATTTGCTCTAGTAAATAGCACTGGTGTCTGGCCTTCTGGTTGCTTGATTGCTCCATAATATGGTAAGCTTACTGCGGACCAGATATTTATCACCAGCACACCTGAAGTGGTGGCTCCCGCTGCTGCTGTTAAACCTGCAGCAAATCCAGCGGGTAACGATGGGGCTAACGGAGGCAGCTCGACATCCACATAAACATGGCCTCTTTCAGTGATGTGAACACGAGTCGTTCGGCCATGTCACATGCGAATTTCAGTAACTGTCTTGGCACATACTATCAAAGCTTGAATTTTATGACATGTGCGCCTCCAATTACGACATAATGTGTCTGTCCGAGACATTGCTCAACAACCTGTGCTACGATCACAATCTGTTTCCTAACCAGTACACCGTTTACTGGTTTGACCGGCCACACATAAACAAGGCTTGTGGTGGTGGCGTATTAACAGGCATTACCGCTAGCCTGGACTCCTGCAGTCGCAGGTATGATTTAGAACTCTGTTCTGAATGTGTGTGGGTCAAGGTTCCCACTGCTGCTGGCATAAACATGCTTATTGGTAACCATTACTTCTCCCCTGACACCAAATCAGAAGTCATTACTGCCTACTTTCGACAACTTGAAAACAATCTAGACATGAACAATACTCGTGTCATATTACTCGGTGACTTCAATGCTCCTGGATTCAACTGGGAGAACGGGACACCTCTTTCGACTTGTCATCATTATTCTAAATTCAAAGGGACTCTATATACACCTCTACACGTTTTCGTGGCCTAAGGCAGTGCCTTGAAGCTGTCGACACTCTTGCCATGCTTGACCTAGTATTTGCAAATTTCACTGATCGAAAGTCTGTTCCTGCCGACTCTGGATTGGTCACGCCTGATATATATCACCCTCCTTTGAATATTGATGTGCTGTTACCTAAGTTAACAGTAATTTAAAATGTGAGTTCAGTTATCAAAACTTTGCAGCAGGAAACTATATCTAATTTCAGAAAACAGAGATCCAGTTCCATTCATCTAGAAGTTCATGGTACACACCTAGTCCAGCCCGAAGCTGTTGCTGATGCATTCGCTAAGCACTTTAAATCTGTTTACAATAACCACTGCTCTAAGGTCATTCACCCTCTCTCGCAATCTTCTGAATTTTTATCCCCTGCCCCCATTTCTGATGCCGATGTCTACAAAGCCATCAAGAGACTAAAACCATCAAAATCTGTTGGGCTTGACGGTATTCCTGGTTTTATCATCAAAGGTGGTGCAGGTATTTTTATTCCTATACTTAGGCATATATTTAACTTGAGCCACATGCAGCAGTATTTTCCTGCTGCATGGAAAGAATCTGCTGTTGTACCAGTATTTAAAAGAGGCAATCATGCCACTGTGAGCAACTACAGGCCTATTTCTATTCTCAGTAATTTCTCTAAATTGTATGAATTCATTATTCATGATCATGTTTCTCATTTCACTAAATTTAATTCTAACCAACATGGCTTTACCAGAACTAAATCTACAGTTACCAATTTGGTGACGTTTCTCGACTTCTTGACGCCTGTTGTCCGCAGTCAGTGTCAAGCTGATGTTGTCTATTTTGATCTATCTAATGCTTTTGACCTCGTCCCTCACAATATGCTCTTGCATAAATTAAGCTCCTTCGGATTCTCTGATGCTTATGTTAGCTTGTTTTGCAGTTACTGAGCCAGTCTCGGGTTCGCGTTTCTGGCACTCTCTCCCTGCCTTTTCATGTAACGTCCGGTGTGCCCCAAGGCTCCATTCTGGGGCCTTTTCTTTTCAACGTATTTATAAATGACCTATGCAACTCCGTTAACTACTGTAAATTTCTAATTTTTGCCGATGATCTAAAAATTCTCCACATGATTGCCTCTTACTGCAATCTGACATTAATTCCGCAAGTGACTGGTGCACTGCTAACTCCATGAAACTTAATATTGCTAAAATGCATGTTGTATCATACACCAGAAAAACAAATTTTCTGAGCTACGAGTATCAGCTTTGTCATGATATCATTACACGTACCAGCAGTCCTTAATATTAAGGACCTGGGTGTTTTCTTTGTTTCAAAGTTACATTTTCACACACATGTTAATTACATATTTTCTGAATGCATAAAGCTTTTAGGCCTTATTCGCTCCATTACCTACAGGTTTTCCTCCCTGGAGAGTCTGTATGTACTATATTTTACTTTAGTCAGATCCACGTTGGAATATGCCTCAGTAGTTTGGAACTCCATCACCTTGACTGATGCCAATAAGCTTGAGCACAACCAGCAGAAGTTTGCGTCCATCTGTTTTTATCGTTTTTTCCCTCATATTTCATATAATTATACTAATGCTTTAGAGAAATTAAGTCTACAATCTTTACATAAACGGAGACATCAACTTGATGCACCTTTTCTTGTTCAGGTCTTTCGTGGTCTTAAATCACGTGCTTCTCTTTTGGAAAATGTTAGCCTTTGTGTTCCTCCCAGCAATCTTAGGGACTTCTCATTGTCTGGTGTTTGTCCCTCTAATAAACACTGTCCTTCTGCTCGGTGCGCCTCTGCTGCCAACGCGGTGGGTAAAGGTCTCGACATATTTGCAATCGGAACAGTTTCTGTCAAACATATTTCGCATGTAAATGAAGAAAAAGTTGGAGTCAATTAATATATTTATACATTGATCCATTAAAACTTGAATTGTTTTATATTTTATTGCTGCCATGTCTACTCCAATCAAATTGAAATTTCTCACTTCTCAATGATAGGTTTGATTTATGTTGATAGAGATATTATTATAATTATTAACTGAGTTATTATTATTATTATTACTTATACTTATTATTTCCTACTGGTGAGCTCAAGCAGAACGGACGTGCTGTGCTTGTGCTCCTGACCGCTTGAGTGCCTAGTCTCTCTCTGTGTGTACAGGCCTGTCGCTGCTTAGGTATGGCCAGTAAGGAACACTGTCGGCTCTGCGAAAAGCTATTTTATGGAAAGCAAAAATCTATTCATTGTGGCATGTGCGATTTGCGCTTTCATTGTAATTGTGTGTCTAATTGTGCGTCGGAGCCCAGTGTCAGCGCAACCACTGGTAAGTCTGCTTACAAATGTGACAATTGTATTAAACTAACGGGGGATGCTGCAAACGAGCATTCTTTCTGCAATAGTAACCAGAAGGAAGCAATTTTTGCAGAGCTACCGTGTACTGCTTCGTGTATAGGGGATAAAGATTCCCTCAGCGTGCAGCTGGAAATACTTCGCACCAATAACATCTGTACCAATGGTAGAATCTATAGTCGTGATGCTGTCGAATCTCAGCAGTGAAGTTCAGCAGCTTAGAATCGACAACGAAGCCACGAAGATGCAACTGCGTGAACTTCAACAGGCGCCCTCACACGTGCAATAAACATGGCGTGAGGCTGCTACATCTGCCTTAATTACAGCAGAATCATACAGGGATGTTGTGTATGCAGTAAATGGAAACCCTATTGTCGCCAACGGCCGCCAAGTTCGCAGCTCCTGCTATGAATTCACTACCTGAGCCATCCGTAGTCATGGGTGAAAACCATTCGGGTGGTGCTTTTGTAACGTTAGTTAAGAAGTTAAGAGCGTTAAGAGGAAGCTAGTAGCCCCATCTCTTGTTAACACTGTGGCCAATACCTCCAAGAAACCCAGGGTTGCCATGATCGGAGTGAGAAGCTCTTCTCTCTCTGTTGTGCAGAAGAGGGTCCGTATGAAGTCCCTTTTTGTCTCTAGGTTTTCCCCAGATGTAACATCATCTGATGTTGAGACTTCTCTTAAGGATCAATTGCAGCTTGCTTCACCTGCTTGCACCAGGCTAAAAACTAAATATAACTCATATGCATCATTTCATGTCTCTGTTGCAGAGGATGAT